CATAAAAGTCAAATTTTCAAAAGAAGTTGCTAAAAATCATCGTTACTGTCCTGAGTGCTTCAGTCTTAGGAACTTTCTGACCCTTTCCCATACATGGTCTTTTCAATCACTGGCAATACAAACTTGATTTCTTAAATAAAATTCATATCCTCTGCTTCTCATTTGCTTCCAGGAGTTTCAATAATAAAAAAATTCTCAACATTTTGATTAATAGTGTGTGCTGAGCCATGCTGCAGGGTATAATGGATTTACTCTGAGTGGGATAAGAAAGCAAAACAAATTTACTCAGAAAGTAAGTCATTACAGTCCAGTAAAATTAAACACTCATGGCTTCAGGAACATAACTGTGGCTTCAGGAACATAACTGTGCAGATATTTTTTCCCATAGGTTTACTATGCAGTCAGGCTTGTATCATGGGAGATCTTTAATGTGTGACCTTCACAGCCTACCATGCAGAGCTGCTGTGGGGATTAACTAGTTAAGATTTGTAAAGTGCTTTGAAGATTATAAGGCATTAAGTTGCACAAGAGCTAAGCACTATTATTTAATACTTAAGTACAACCAAGCTTTACAGGACAACTCCTGTTCACCTCACTGGAAAGAGTCTTTGTTATTTCTTGGTGGTTTCAGTACAATTGGTGCAAGAGGTAAAGCAAAGAGAACTGAACACGAAAGAGGGAAATTCCTTTCTTTTTTCACTATCAGAGACTAAAGTGAGATACAACTGTAGCGGTATTGCATAAAAATTAGTTGAAAAATAATTATGAGGAAATGCAATTATAGAAATCCACATAAAATGCAGTGCTCCTTAATGTGCCAGTACTGTCCTTTTTACTACGTCCTATCTTGCCCAAGTAGATCCACAGACTATTCTCCAGGAAGTAGAACTCCAATTTCCAGACCAAATTTATCTAATTTATCTAATTTGGTCTAAAAATCTGAAAAAGCTGCCAAGTGACAGTAGGGATGGGTAAAATCTGCACATTTGTAAGTTGTATTTCATACATATTTTAGCTTATTTAAGTCAAAATTTTGGAAGAAATATGAACACAGACTGTTGTCTTTATTAATCACCTTGTTCTGATACAATTGCTTTGTTGGGTTTTATTTTGATATAAACCTTCCTCTTTCTTGTTTTGTAATGTCAGTTTTCAGCAGCAGGAAGTCAGTGGGGTTTTTGTGGTAGCAAAGGGACAAAGTATTTGCTAATAAAATTACAGTGTAAAACATGACAATGTGGCATAATTTGGCACTTAAGTAAGCTGGAGATAGAGGAGCACAAGTGTTTCAGGTTTGCTGACAGGCACAAACTATGGAGGTTAAGGCAGCATACTGTTGGACCCTGAGCTGCATCCCAGCATCCTGAAGTCATGAAGACCTTATTTGGCATGCAAAGTAGGAGGGTTGAGTTTATTTACCTTGCAAGGACTAATTATGATTCAATGGAAGTGTTTTTTCATGACAAAGCACTTAGAACTTGCCTTTCTTGCCTCTGCAAAAGTGCTGCAGACATTTCACAAGGACAGACTGTTCAAGTATATACATTTCCTCTCTGTGGCTAAAAATAAAGATCACTTTTCTATAGTGTTTTGACATTTTGATCTCAATTGAAGCATGTAATAAAAATTAAATTCACTGACTCTCTCCAGTATGACCTGAAATTCATCTTTAGAGATAAGTAAAGGTAAAAGAGGGAAAACAGAAAGTGAAGAGTGTACTTGCACAACAGAGATTCTTGTCCATTCCTGAGTCAAGGAAGCTACAGGCCCCTAATGTTTCTACTTCTCTTCAGAAATCATAGACTTTGCTTCCTCTATTAAGTTAATAACAATCACTGTGTCACAGAAAATCAAATTACTTATCCAAAAACACAAATGAAGACCATGAATAAGCCAGAGTTCATTTTAGCTTTCTAGACATTGACCCTGTCCCAGACTGCTTTAGCTATTCAATCTAGAAACAGCTTAAGACAGACTAGAAGAGTGTGGTGCACATTGTTCAGAGAAACAATTTGTGTGTGGTGCCAAATGTGACTTGCACACTCTGTCACCAGGCTTTTGACCAGGAGATGTGGGAAGCTGGAGGTAGTAGTCTTCCTTCAGATTCAGCTCTTTAAGCTCAAAAGTGTTCTTGCAGAGATTCTTTGTTCTCAACATGTTCTAGAGCTTTTCCAAGCCTGTATCTGAGGCTCTACTCACCTCCACAGTTGCTCTCCCACTAGTGTCACAGCAAAAGCAAAAAAAGCAACTCAGGTTTTCCTTTGTCTTTTCAGGAGCCCTTTTCTTTGATTTTCTTACTGCCTTCTCTTTTGTTTAAAGAATCTCAAATCATACAATGACAGCTACTTGTTATTCATTTTAGATTCATTATGGGTTACTTATGGTGTTGCTCACACCAACAATAAACTACTTCACCTGCATTAATATTCTTAGTGCTTATTTCGGCAGAAGTGAAATTGTGTTTCTGAAAGGGCAGACATTTACCAGGTGCATTACAAATCTAGTTAGAATTCGAAAAAAGTTGGCTCTTCTGATACCTGAGTTACTGAACTTGAAAGATACAACTGCTAGTAATTTCTCATACCGTGCAGATTGTCACACATAGTTTGGAAATGGGTGAATGTGATTCAGTTCTCATGTGATTTTGGTGTATTAAACAAGAAACACAAACACTGTAAAAACAGAACCATCAACAAATGTTTTCAAATATTGCTAAAGCAGTTATTCTATTGTACCAGATAAAAAGAAATACAAGGAGTGAGCATCCAATCAGTCCCTCCATGGAATGGTCACACCCCATTAACAGGCAGTGCCTGTGTGTCCTGCTGGCAGTGACCACATGGGCAGTACTGAAGGATGGCATGTCCACAGTCTCCTCATGTTGACAGCAGACCAAGATCCATCACAGCAAGACCATGTGCATCTTTCTTACCTTTTCCTTTCTTCAGCTGGAAGATGAGCTTAGAATAGGACTTGAAATATTGTCTTTTGCTGAACTAGGTACCTGAGCTACTGGGAATATGTCAGCTCTCTGGTACCCTAAGCTCCAAGCAGAAACTGTTTTTCTGGGGCTGTAGAGTCCTCTGACTTTTCTCCACAGTACCTGAAGCTCCTATTTTTCCTATGCATACCCAATCCTGTAACTCTCAGGACCAAATAGCTCAATAGCTCATCTTGACCCAAAGCACAGAGCTCTGGTTTCTTGTCCATCAGCCCATTTCATGGGGGGAGGAGGAGGTGGCAGGAAGATTAGTCTGATTTAATTCTTCTGATCACCAAGAAGCAGAAAACACATGTGATATGCTCCAGTAAGACCTTCTTGTCTAACCTGAACTATGAAAATTCTCACTTTAGCTGCATATGTGTAAGAGTGAGAATTTCTATCCTAAGTAGAGAAAAATACTTTGTCTTGGCAAGAAAAGCTGTTAACATCAAAGAGTCTGAATTTCAGTTCTCAGTGTTTCTAAACTTATTCCCATGGTATTCCTCTTGCATACTCAATCCAGTGAAATGCTGAAAACATTTCTTCTATTCTTTTGTATTTAAAAATAGATTGATGGAAAGGAATTATTTTGGAAGCACTTCTTAGAGATGGTTTATAGATCTATTATATTCCAGGACCTTTGACTTTGCCATTTTTATGCTACAGTAATAAAGTGAAGTGCCTTATGCCTCATTGCAAACTGATTTTCTCTCCCTTCTCTTTTAGTTTAATTCAGCTTTATTAAAAAGTATTTTGAAAAAAAACCAAAAACCCAAAAATGAAGAGAACATTACTAAAAATAAATCCAAGCAAAGAACATGTGTCAAAGAGTTGCAGAGACCTCTCAGTCCAGAAGAAGAGACTTCGTAAAAAAATTTTCCTTTTTTTTTAACACCATAAAAATTAACTCAATATTAAGTAGGAGCTTAAGATCTGGGAAGAACTCCTATTATAGTTATGGGTCTCCACACAGGGGAATGGGATGAGCAAATCTCTATCCATGTTTATCATAGTCTCACCAAAAACTTCTACCTCTGTCACTTCATTCCAGAATTTATATTTCTGCACCCTCCTATGAGCAAGAGGAAACTCAGATTCAGAAATGCAAGTGAAAGTGGGTGCTGGAGAACAATGATGTGACATTCTGGAGACCACACCTCAAAGATCTTTCTCAAAGGCCATCTCTAACTTCAGATAATAAGTTGTTCATAAAAGGAGGTCTCCAGCCAGTGCTGTGACAGATATCTGATCAAAAGATCAGCAAGTCTCCACAATTTGGCCTTGTGGGGATGAAGAAAAGACTGAATATGATGTACTACCCACAATCTATTCTCCTAAATCCATGTGCCCCCTCCCCAGGCTAGAGAATTGCAGGTGTGCAAGTGCTGTGAAAGCAACCCTAGGCTATGCTCTGGATAGAAATTAAGTCAATTATTAGGTCCTGTGAATCTTACTCTCTTTCCATATCTAAAATGTTTTAATAACTTTGCTTTTCCTTCTCCAGAAAGGAGAAAAATCTTGAGGAAAATCCTGATAAGGCTGCTGAACTGCTAGTCCAGTCTGTTGCAGTTCCAGGCAGAAAAGAACACTGCCCCACTTGGAAATTTCTCATCCTTGTTCCAGGCATTAGCTCCCTCAGCTTTACTTCCCAAGAAGACCCATGCTGAGGAGGGGGATTCACTGCACTCACAGGGGCAGTAAACACTGAGTTGCTATCCTGGTTGTTTATTATGGAACTATTTCCATTTTGAAGGGAGAATTTTGCCTGTAATTTCCAGTTAGGTCTTTAACAGAGGCTTTTACTCAATTGTAAAAAAGCTTTTTATCCCTTTTTATAACCAACTGTCTTTCTGAATTTCACTTTTCATCTTGAAAATATATCTTCTTCAGTTCACTAAAGCTGAAGAGTAGGTGAACTTTTCTTGTGCTTCTGAAGGATTCTAATACCAGCAAGAACACCCAAAATACACAACAGAACTTGAGCAGACTTTGACATGGTTATCCATTTTAGACTCACCCATAGAGCTTACTTTCCAAGAACATTCAGATTTCTCCTTTGGAAGCATAGTGTTGTCACCAGCAGGGAGAAATGAACATGTTCCTCTATTGATCTTACTTGGAGCACTTAGGTCTCAAGAGAACGACCAGTGGCAGGAAAAGCACCTGGCATAAGGAGTAAAAAGATGTGGTTGAAATGCAGTACTCCCAAAATCTTCAAATAGAAAAGCTGTGCAAAATGTTCTTGAGCACAAGTTGACTTTAGGCTGGCATCTCTGTATTTTGACAGGAATTGCAATGAAGACCTGAAGGGAAATGTCTGGTAAGGGCCAGGATGCTGAATGTTATTGCATTCAGAGGGACAGGGAGCAGGGAACTTCTTTACCTTCTCTGGATATGCTTGCACAGCAAGCTGTTTGGCTTCTACCAGTTTAGCCACTGCCAATCACACTTGTCACATAGTTGTGCACTAGTTCTGCATCCACAGTAAAGATTTTAGAGCTTGCTAACTACATATCTGCATTTGCACAACATATACAATTCCCACTAAATCAGACAAATGGATGCTGCTGAGCCATCTGTTTGAAAGTATGTTTAGTTATATAATCTAAGTTACAAGTACTTCCTCACAGATGAAGATATCTCAGTTTAGATGGCTACAGAGAGGGGACTGTGCATCTGAAATATCCCCATGAGACCAGAAAATACAATGTAAAACTGTAAAAAACCCAGTGCTTTTCTGCAGAAGTGTGGAAGCCTGGCAGGATTCCTTGGGTCATCACAAATGGCACTGAAATCTAGACTTAGACCACTGAACTGAACCTTACTGTCTTCATTTGAGTGAATATCTACATATTCCTTAGGTTAATATGAGACCTGTTTAGACTGGAGTTCAGAAATAGGTCAGATGGCAAAATATAGGGATGTTAGGATTTATGGGTCTTAACTTTAGAAAAAAGTGTTATTTTTGGTTGATTCAGAGTAAGAATCACAAGACCACACTCTGTTCCCAAATTTGCACTTGCTACAAATGTGAAGTGCCCCTTGAGATTCTTGTGCTGCTTTCATAAACACTTACAATCAGACCAACTAGAAATTTGACTGGTTTTCCTTGGTACTATATAGATATGAACTTGAAATATTTTTGGAAACATACAATTTGTTGGAGTTAAATACTATTTTGCAGTATTAGTAGTTGTTGTTCTACTTGCATTACTCCACAGTTTGGTTTATATTATATCTATTTGTAGATCATATTTTAATAATAGAAACAAACATTTATCAGAAATTTTCAATGCTCTTCTCCAAGAGTCATGATATTTTCCCTAGTTTCTGTTTGGTATTGTTACAAATGGGATGTTTTTGCTTTGTACATGTGTCACATTTGTTCACTTAACTGTATTTTTCTGTTCTACATAGACTCTCAACCCATACTCATCATCTAAGCATCTGAATCACTCCTCAAGCATATGAGTAGTACAAGAGGTCCAGATCAGTCAGTAATCCCAAGATTCTGCCTTGTCTCTTTAGCTCAGCTCTCACATTTCAACCTCTTATCTGAGCCTGGAGATCAGTTCAGTGGACACCCTAGCCCAAAAGGCCCACTACCCCAGGATGCAGGAGCTGAATTCTGCATTCTGGCAGAAAGCTAGGTTGTGTCACACCAGTTGAACATATCCTCACCACTCTGAAACCTTTCCACGAGTATTGATCACCTTATTCAGGAGCCTTGTGAGAAGGATGATGGAGGAAGATCTCGTGCTCTGATGGAGGAATATAAACAAACCCTTTCAGAGCCCGTGCTGGTGTGCATTCAGGACATACAGCTGTTAAGACCAAAGGATCACTTAAGGCTGATGCAAACTTTACGTTCTGTTCTGCACAGGCCTTACTCAAAAAGGACTGGCTGGCTGGTCCAAGTTCAGGCAGCAGGTATTTCTGAACTGATTGCACACAGGGAAAAGGAAACCTATTTCTGTGTTACACCTCAAGCCCCCACAAGTTTATTATTATTACTTTTACTGCTGAGAATTTACAGGGCTCTAAAGAAAAAAATATATATATTTCAGAAATGGTTATCTATTTGTCTGCTCTGAGGAGGAGAGGTGGCAAGTTTTGAAAGACTTTGCCTCAATCAGAGAAGAACTGTTGGTCTGAAACACAAACCACTTGCTGGTCAGCAGCAGACATATCCTTCACGTAACATTCTCCACTCTTAGTGACCATTATCATGATAGGAGTTCCCTGATCTCCAGAGAGCAGACTGTACATTCCTAGCCCAAGGCTGCCACTAGCACATTGAAAGATAAGGAGAGACAGGGGTAAGATTCTCACCTACAGTGAGGCCCTTCTAATGAACACTGTAGCCTATATGATGTCTTCATAAAGCAAGCCACATCTAGCAGGCTGATTCTTGCTGCCAGAAGGGTTACTCAGTGCATGCCAGTGTTCTGCTGCTTCACTGATTGCCCTTGTTTCCTCAAAGGAGATATAAGTGCACAGGCTCACAGCTGGTTGCCTTTCCTTTCAGAGATAACAAGACTCCATGGAGAAGGAGACAACATCAAAAATCACAAGATCATCAGCCAAGGGGATGAGAACTGCCAGTCCTGTGACAACCACAGTATCTTCTTTGAGAACTACGGTGCAGTACCTGATACCTCCATTTACCTGCAGCTTCCTCTTACACAAGCAGCCCCTTCTTAGCCTTCAATGACCTAGCCCCTTCAAGAGATGCCTTCAATGACCATCAAGGCAAGAACTATAAATATATATTACAGAACTGGGCACATTCCTTTCTACTTAGGTGCATACTTGTGGACATTGAAAGATAAGGAGAGACAGGGATTTTCACCTGCACTGAGGCCCTTCTAATGAACACTGTAGCCTATATGATGTCTTCATAAAGCAAGCCACATCTAGCAGGCTGATTCTTGCTGCCAGAAGGGTTACTCAGTGCATGCCAGTGTTCTGCTGCTTCACTGATTGCCCTTGTTTCCTCAAAGGAGATATAAGTGCACAGGCTCACAGCTGGTTGCCTTTCCTTTCAGAGATAACAAGACTCCATGGAGAAGGAGACAACATCAAAAATCACAAGATCATCAGCCAAGGGGATGAGAACTGCCAGTCCTGTGACAACCACAGTATCTTCTTTGAGAACTACGGTGCAGTACCTGATACCTCCATTTACCTGCAGCTTCCTCTTACACAAGCAGCCCCTTCTTAGCCTTCAATGACCTAGCCCCTTCAAGAGATGCCTTCAATGACCATCAAGGCAAGAACTATAAATATATATTACAGAACTGGGCACATTCCTTTCTACTTAGGTGCATACTTGTGATTATCATGACAACTTATAAAATAAGGAGCAATTCTTTACCATCTGGAATAAGATAAACAATTAGCTTAGATTTCTTTGAATATTTGATATTTTGTATGAAGTCTGGCAGAGAACATTTGAAATATAAATGTTTACATTACCCATATCAGCTACTGCTTCTCTCTTTTAAGCAAGAAAGATTTATTTGTAAATAGTTTAATTTTTCTTTATCTCAGGTCTTTCAAAGTTACAACACTTCTATATTAGAAAACTCTATTCCTAGGATTTCTAATTTAAGTATTATTAAGACAATATAAGACAGCAGCAGGCATATTCTTCATGTAACATTCTCCACTCTTAGTGACCATTATCATGATAGGAGTTCCCTGATCTCCAGAGAGCAGACAATTATTAAGTATTATTAAGACTCTTTGGGGTTTCCTCCAGTTTACAGAAATTCTCAAACCAAATGCTTAAAGAGATACTCTTTTTAGCAACACTGAAGCTTTTCAGTTTATTACTTCCTACTCCAGGAATCTCAGAGAAGTTATTTTAGCAAATTAAATCCCATAAGAACACATTAAAAAAAAAATTATTTGCCATCTTGGTTTAAGTTTTTAAAGACTACTGTATCTCTCTGTTACCTTCCATTGTCACTATTAAGAAAATACTAACAGAATCTTTCCTTAGCAGCTTCCTTGCCAATATTTTGCTATTGTACAAAAACAGAACTTCATAGGTCCCTGTTTGATTTCTCAAATTAAAAAAGAAAAAGAAAAAGAAAATGAAGGAAAAAAAATATATTTCTGATGGATTAATATCTGGTAACTTGGTACCTAAAACTCCCTGTCTGACCAGGTGTATTTACCTGCCTAACAGTCCATACTCCCACATGGGCAGCAGGGAGAGAGAGACAAGCAGCTGCACAAGGCAGTTTGTCACACTCTTAAAAAGATGGGACGATCTGCCTTCCAGTGGTCCCTCATACTGTCTGCCAAAAAGCCAATTCAGCAATTTAAATCGGAGCACATGTTTAGTGTGCTTCAATAATGTGCTCAGATGACTCTGGTCAAGTAACAAAGCTATGAGATTTGAATAAAAAAGACAATTAAGTGCAAGGTAACTGTTTTATATTTTTTCCAAAACCAGAAAGATAGCAAAGAGCAGATGCAGGGTCAGATTTCACTATCACCACTCACATTTAGTAGTGCTTCCTAGTTAAATAAGCTGTTACTGTCTACTAATCCAAATATGTCTAAAGAAATTTAGCAAAATCAGGCTAAGAGTAAACATAAATTATTGACATAGTCTGTATTTGGATGATTAAAGGGAGATACCAAATTATTCAAGTACCAAATTTAGACTCTTCATCAGTGAGAGTAGGCTACATAATACATCTGATGATCTGGACACAAGTCCCAAGTCTCCCCTGCTGTGTATAATGCTATATATCTGCCCAATTACAAGCCTGAAGAAGTGCTTCAGCTAGTTCAGATAATTAAAATTTAAATCTAATGTTCACATGAATTTTTAACATGCCATGAAAACCCAGGGTTCATAAATAATTTACAGTAACACATGAAGGCATTCTTGGCCATCTCCGACCAATTTGTCCCTCAGATCAACAAAGGTCTTTCAGAACTTTGATAAGCTAATAGAAGCTTTTTAAAAATATGTCTCTTTATAGATCCTGAAGAACTGGTTCTGCTCTATAAGAAACATTTGCATAGGCTTACCAGCAAAGAAAGGGGAAGTGCTACATATGTACTTATTAGAAAGGATCATCTCAAAAAAGAAAATATAACATCCATAAAGGCTAGACAGACATAGTTGTTTTCCTTGGCTA